CCCCAAAACCCCAAAACCCCCAAAACCCCAAAACCCCAAAATGAAAAATAGATGAAAATTCTTATAGATAAAGAACTGTATTTATTTAAGATCTTAAATATAAAATAAGTGCTGTAAATTGCATGGTTATTTCTTGAGCTATTAAAGTTAATCATTTTATCAATATTAGAAGAGTCCTTGATAGCAGGTAGTTCCATAAGCAATAGCTTGTATTTCTTTTAGTATGTGAATGTATTCATTGACATTGACCTTTCGAGTGTTGTTTTGATGAGTATTGAAAATAAGAGATTTTATCCTGCTGAGTCTGGTATAGTCAGTCATAACTTGCGACATCAAATTTGGATCATAGTCTTCATCATCTTCATCTCCCATTAACTACTACTCAACTCTAATATCAGGTAAAGCTTGCACATTTTCGAACCATGCCTCTGCTTTTAGGAAATCTTCCTAACTAATCTCACCTCTTTCATTTGCAAGTTCTCTCAGTTGTTCGCCATACTCATTCAATGATTCTTGGTCGTCTCCCATATTTGTTTGAAGTAGGATAAACATGGTTAAAATCTTTTTCCAATCGACAAATTGTCTCTCTACTTGTGCTAATCCATCTTAATCTCTGCTGCTATAAATTGGCTTACTATAGTCATCATCCATTCCTAGAGGCTTAACAGTATATCTCCTGAGGATATTATTGAAACTTGAAAACTCAAGACATCTCCAAGATCCAGGAACTCTATTCTCTTTCAAACTCAAGACTATTATATGGATAAAAGTCTAGCCGTCTAAATACCTATCAAAGGCATATTACCTAAAATCTTTATATAGAATCTCAAGATGCTCAATCTTGAAGTGTTATGTTAGTCCATTTTAGCTTGGAAGCATAATACTTTTATTTGGTTAGTAGTCAACTGTCTAAATCTTAGAGTAGAGATCAAGAGCGCTCACATTAAATTGATGATAATCGAGTCTTAGTTACTGTTCGAAGATACCATTTTACAATTTGTCAACTACACTCTTGATTGCATTATTTTCCTCTAACACTGCTATTGATATCCAATCATCCATTGTGTTGTAGACCTCCTGAGAAAAGTAATAGAAATCCATAAGCTTAACAGTAATCCAGGTTTAAATCATGTTCAATCTGAAAATTAGATTATCGGATTCAATCTTCAGTTATTATCTAACATCAGAATCAAGTTACTAATGATCAATCAAGCTCTGTTAGATATCTTTAAGTATTAACTTTGATATTTGATGGAGAATGGGAGATTTTTTGTGCTAGTTAATAGCGGCAAGTCCTGAATCAACTGCATCATTAAAGTATCTTTCCACTCTTATTTGCATTGGACTTTCAAAGCCTACCAGGAGTGCATAGAATGCAAGATACTTATTCACTTCATTTTAAACAACTGTTGTTGCATTTTTGATAAGCTTTTTAAGTTCAATATCAATCCAGCCGTTGTCAATAAGCTTGGCATGCTCAGCAATAGCATCATCCTTTCTTTGCTCTACTATAGCCCAAAGATCATTGTTCAAGGTATCAACTCTTTTAAGCAATTCTTCTTTTGTTTACTCGTCTTCTCTAAGGTCAGGGAATTCATCTGAGAATTTGTTGAATGATTCTATAAACTCATGAACTTTTTACACTTTTGCGTCAGTTCTTTAAAGAAAATCTATGAATCTAGTCTACATATCATTAAGTCCTTCAAGGATTAGATCCCTTTATCTTCTTATAACTTTAAAAACTGTCAAGCATTCCTTGTAATAAGATTACTCAAAAGTCTGCCAGTAATCTCTTTTTTCTTCATTAGTCATTGGTTATACAATAGATTTTTCTGATTTAAATCTTTTTGACTATTAGCTCTACATTTCTCTTTGAGACCTTGTTCTTGAAGGAGCCAATTCAAACTATTGCTAAGGAGATGCATCTAGTTAGTTTTGATCGTTGTTTTAAACTCTAGGTGATTGCTCAATGACATTACTATTATTTAACTATTCTTGCTGTTATTATTCTAACAATTTTTATTGATCTAGCAAAATCTGATTTTACTCCTCTGCTTGCATCACTTGAAGCTTCTTCTTATCATATTGGGCTTGCTTGAAGCCGAGCACTCTTTACAATTCTTTGCTAACTTTTTCCCAAACATCTTATTTCTTCTATCCATGAGTGATTCCGACTTCTATCAAAGCATTAACAGGTTCTATGTTATCTTCCTCAAGACCAAAGCCATTGACCCAGGTTTTTAAGAGCTACTAGTTATCATCATATACTTAATGATGATTATTCATTTTGTTAGAGTCAGCATCTGGATCGCTATATTCCTGCAATCTATCCTTCAACTTATTATCATTTTCAGGGGGTGGATTATCCTCCAAATGATAAACAGTTCCTGTAGTTGGGTCGATCTTTCTATTCTGACTTCTTCTAAAGCATTCATCCGAAGGAGTATCTAAGAATATCACTGCATCTGAGGCTGACTAGTAGATCTTTGGTAAGTCACTTGAACTATCAGCCTCTGACGTAGATGCAGATGCTATCTTTGACCATTATTCAAAGGCTACTAAGTCTTGATTTTTTGGTAAGTCAGTCATGCTTTGGAAACCAGTCATTAATTTCTCCATTAATTTTGCTTGTGATAGTGTTCTAGGGAAATCTAGGAGTATCCATCCCTCTGGTTGGATTTTCTAAATTAACTCAAGATCTTATCTTAGCTAGTCTTCATTTGAACCAGCATTCTTTCCCTTGGCAGGAGGAGCCTTGCCTTTTTTATCTTGAGCTCCTCCAACAGCTGCATTTTGTTATTCTAATTCAGCCAGTTATTCCAAAATCTCTTTTTCTTTTTAAATGTTTAGTTTGATTTCCTCAATTTTTACTTGCTCTGGTTTATCTTAAGGGAAACTTAACTTTAATTTCTGGATGAATAATCTAATCAGCAATGAATCATCTTGAATCATACTAACTAGGTCAGGTGCTCCACTATTGTTAAGAGTTGCAAAATCAAAGTTTTCACCAAAAATAGCTTTAACTTAGTTGCCTATATCCTTGTAATCTTTGGTATCCATTCCAGCATAAGCATCTATAGGAGCAGCTTCTTCAACCTTTTTTGCTGGAGCCTTTTTAGATTTATCGACTTCAACAGCTTAGGGCTTTGGACTGACATACTCATACACTTCTTTAATCAAATCATCCATCTTAAATACCTTGACTTTATTGTTGTATAATTCCTGAATCTATTTAGCCACAGTTCTCTTACCCCCATACTTCTTCCCGAGAATGCATAGCTTCAAAGGCAAGTGATGAGGAATACCAATTGTTTCTTCTAGTTTTGATTCCTCTAAATTATCAGGCTATTCAGTTTACCATAGACTGCTTAAGATCTACTTTAAATTTCTTCCTAGTTCTGGATTATGAGGGGGAATTAGTGAGTCCAGGAATTTGAAATCAAAGTCAAAAGAATTTAGATCAAGCATTTGATTCCAATATGGAGCATGATCACCTTAATTAAGGTTGAAAATACCTGTAACACTCAGATATTGCAATAGATCCTCGTATGCTGGGTCAAACTTCATTTCATCCAAGATGCTTTCAAGATTTTTTGTAGGATCTTGGAGAGGATCCGAGTATTGGTCTCGTGTTGGATCGTCATCTGTTAATCCTTGAGAGAATCCATGATGGTGATCTCCAACTACGGATGAGACTAATTTATTGTCTACAAAAATGTTCATCCACTCTCTCCATGTTGGCTTGTCAAGCTTCTTTATACCATTTTTCTATTATTGATCGAATGTCTGATTTGCAACATCAAGAATTAGATCCATAACTTCACTGCAGACCTCAATATTCAGCATTCTCCTTTTAAGTTTTTCCTCCCTTCTGACTTGTTGATAGTATTTTTTCTAATCCTGAATATTTTTCCTATGACTTTCAATCATAGCAGCATGTTCCTCATTCCTCTTCCTTTCTAATTCTTGCATCTGCGCCTTCTTTTTCTCTTCAACACCAAATGCTTTTTCTTCTCTATTCTTAATAATCAGCTACTTGCATTGCTAGTTTCTCCACTCAAGGTACGCAAATTGTTATTCCTCAGCTTGCTTTTTCATTATTTTCTGGATCAACTGCTCTTCGTTTTTCTTTTTATCAAGATTATTCTGAGTACGGGCCTAGTCCACGATCATCTTTCTTCTTCGACGATCTCGTTCCTTTGCAGCGAAGTCTTACAAGTTTTTATTCTCCTTAATCTTATTCATTGTTGCAGCGTAAGAGAAATTCTGAATCTAACCAGGTGGAATACCTTTCTTCTCCTCCATTCTCTTGATTGCATCTTCAATGTTAGTGTTCTTCTCGATACCTAGCTTTTGCAAGTTCATCTCAAATTCATTAATCCCACCAGCCATGTCTTTGGTTGCCTCGTCCAGTTCCTTTCCAAGTTTATCCTTAAAAGCTTTAACTTCTAGGTCTTCAAAGTACTACTATCTGGCAATAGCGTCTGAGCGTTTTTATTAGTTTTAACCCCAATTCTTGCGACCTTCTTTTTCCCAATCTTTCATAAATTGTTGATTCTCCTTCATTTTATTCATAGACATTTGTCTCTAATCCTAGTAGAGTTTATTAATCAATTCCTCTTCATCTTTTTGGGATTTGTATGCATAATCATCTTGTTACTTCTTAGTGTGTTCAAATTTAAGTAGAGTTTTTTCTATAGACTCAAGTTTCTTTGACCTATTCATTGTTTAGAATTTATTAAGAGTGGGAAGAGTTGTCTTGAGCTGCATTACCTCTTCAAATCTACGGTCTAATGTATGTTTGTCCAAACCCGTAATTGTCTTAGTATTAGCTTGAATATTGAACTCCTAGGGATTATCTTTCATAATGCCCAGTTTAATCTGATACAAAAGTCTTAGAGCAGCTCCACGTTCTTCATTCATGATTTGATTAATCAGCTTCCCATCAAATTTCACCTTCAATTGTCTCATAACTGCCTCAACTTAAGCGAAATTCTTGATTTTTGACTCTTTGTTAGTTCTAATAAGAAGAGTAACGGTTAAGATTTTATTTTTAAAGTCAGATAAAAAGAATAGGTACATACTTCTTAGAAAAATTTGATAAGTCTTCTATGTATCGATATTACTTTAGGATTTCTCCAAATAGAAAGCCATTAGCAAAGTCAACTTCAAAAGAATTAACAATCTATCAGGAAATTAAGATAATGAGGGAGAATACCTTTGAGAGTCTGACATCATTTTGAATCCATTAGTGGACTTATTCAGTCGCCATTTAATTTCAATTAATTAGAAATATTTATTTTCAATTTTTATCACAGCTTAATTACTCTATTGAAATTCAAACTATCAACACATATTCAAACTAAAGGATTCCATACTTTGATGTAGCCATCTGCTGAGCCAGATATATATTTATTAGGTTCAACTGGATGCCTATCAATGCTTACCACTGGTCTCAGATGGCCTCTTAGAATATTAAGTGGTTCTTTTGTCACAATATCATACAATACGATGTTATTATCCTCTGATGCCTGAACTAAATATGAGTTGTCCTTTGAAAACTTAACTGAGCCGTGATAATTATCTGATTTATGATGGCCCTTATAGTCTGCAATTGTCTCGCCAGTAGATAAATCGTATAACTTTGTCGTTGAATTTAAGCATGAGACTGCCACAAACTTTTTATCTTCTCCAATGTCAAAGCTATTAATGGGTGCCTCTATGTTATCTCTCACTAACTTTCCCATTCTTATGTCATAAGTTCTGAGTATCCCATCTACTGAACTTGCTATTATAGAATCATCAGTTATCATGATTTTAGTGATCGAATCTCTAAAATCATCCAGTACTTAAATAGGTCTGTAATCCCTACTCATCAAGTCCCACAATTTTACTGAGTTATCAAATGAGCCTGTTGCGATCACGTTTTAAAAATGATTCAAGCATATTGCGTTTATTTTATTTGTATGAGCAATAAACTTTCTTATGTACTTTCCAGATAGCACATCCCAAATGTAAAATGTTTTGTCCCCTCCGCAGGAAGCAAACTTATCATTCTCATTAAATCTATGGATGTCTTTAATTTATGATTTAAGATTAATTCTTACATTGCAATGTCAAGCACCTCTCTGTTGTGAACACCTGCATAAGATTTGATCAGTGATCCCTTCTTTGGATTCCAAAGCTGTATTGTATATGAATATTACAAAAAATACTCTGATGGTTCGATCAGCGTGACCTGACATAGCAAAGTTTCCATCAATATTGTATTTTACTACAAAGACCTCAGACTCAGTATTCAAAGTCAGAGCTGCATTTTAAGCAGGCAAGTTTCTTTCCATTTAAAATGATTAATTTGCTTAGATTTTCAATAATCTATGTTTATGGGGTTTTGGGGTTTTGGGG